ATGTGCTGGTTTTCTGCTGGCTGTTAATTTTGTTTGCCGACAAGGCGCAAAATGGTTGAATAATGGCCAGGCGACATTTCGCTTAATGTTTGACTTGGCTGCAACACGAAATCTGATGCAGGATGCAGGACGAGACACAAGTACAAGAGCCGGCAAATGTTTGCTAAGATTATTTTCTTGTTTCTCCTTTAATTTGATTATGTAAAAGGATTACTCGGGCTAACAATGTGTAAGAAGTGTGTCGTGTTCATAAAAATATTGCGACAGAGGTTTTTCATTATTATTATTAAGCTGTACTTGGATGAAATCGCTGGAAAATTAGTATGAAATGTAAATTCTTAAGACATGGGATTATCGCAAAATAACAGTTCCTTAATAAAATGATTTTAAGTTATAATTTCCTTGAAGTTATTTCAAGTAGATTTCTTAATCATTTATGTCCGCAATTATTGTATCAATATAAATAAAATCCAGAGGTTTGATAAAAGTAGGCGAGCCTACTTCTCTGAGCTATACTAATAATATTTGAAAAATAATTCAGTCTGAATTGAAATCCAATCTATGCCGGTCCCCGCAACACCCCTCTATAAAAATTCTTGCCAAACTCTTTGGATTTGGCTAATGATCCAAGACCCGAGCCTATTTCAAGCCAAATGCTCTTGAAAAGAGGCCTGCCCCTTCGTACGCCTATCTGTATGGCTAATTAGGCTAAACAAATTATGGAATATGATTAATAGAGAGCACGGCCTGGCAATTAACTTTTTGCGATAAATAAAACGGAATATATATGCGTAAGTATGAATTAATGCCCGCAGGATTTATTGACCCCGCCCACAATCAGGAGCCCTAGGGTCCGTTTTGGAGAACGAATTTGTCCTGCGATTTAACAATTCACGTAGTGACATTTGCATTTTTGATTGCCCCAATATTTCTTGCACTGCTTTCGCTTTTTGTTTATGGCCATCGCACCGCTAAAGGTGTTCCATCCCTCAAAATCCAGCTAAAAAAGTTCAAGCTTAAGAAACGTGTCGTGTAAATTAAAAGGCTTTGGTTTCAGTGGGGAGTTTTGGGTGTAAAAAATGATACGCCAAAGGTCAGCGAGGCTTTAAAATTTCCCCAGCCAAGTTTTATGCAAATCATTTATTATACATATATATTTATTTTTTGCTGGGCGTGACAAGGTCTAATTATGCCGGATTGTGGGCTGCTCATCTCTTTTTTTTTCGAGCCAACGTCATTTACTTAATTTGTCTGCGGTTCATTCACGCCAGCGAGGGAAATATTTCAATCAAAGGGATTCCTTTTTTCAGCGGGGCTTAAAGGCTAAGCAAAAGTTCAGGCGATCCAGGACAATGTGGCCTAAGTATTATATTTCCAGGCAATTGTTTATGAGGTCTCCTACTTCATCTGGGTTTTGGGAAATGGGGGAACAATCACATTTCTTTTTGGTGGGGAAATTCGTGCTTAAGTAGAGGGAAACATAGAAATAAAAGAAAAGGAAAAGGCGAATCCCTGGCGGCGGGCAGAACTCCTACACACACTCCTTCGTAGGATTCAGGGCTTCAGGACCCGAGGAGTGACGTGTTTGGCGCTGCACCAGCACTTAACCTTGGCTGTACACCGAGGACACGGCACTCGAGTTATGAATTAAATCCTGCCACGAATCCGGTCCGCAGAGATAGCTACCACATCTACGGGACTTCGTATCTCTGTGGAAACCTTAACCCAAAAGCCAAGCAGGACGAAGTTGGCTCTCTTTCGTGGGAGAGAAAGCTTTATCCTTTGGCTTCCATTCAGCAGTTCTCTTTGTAGGCAGCTTTCAGACCAAAGAGAATTTTAGGTGGTGAGTGTTTGGTAAAAGTAAAATAAAGAGAAAACAAATAAACAGATGAGTTCGCTAAAATGTTTGTTGGGTTATCTTTAGGCTGAGCATCTAAAAAGGTTTTCGAAATTAAATGCATCTAAAAATTTACAAACGTTTTAAAAAAGTATACTAGTTTTAAGAATGAGCGAGATAATTATTAAAACAAATAAATAACAATTATGTACATCAAATTTAAATTACAATTTTTGTTATATTTTTTAAGGTTTTTTATATCCGTTACTAAAAGGGTATACTAGATTCGTTGTAAAGTATGTAACAGGTAGAAGGAAACGTTTCCATGTGATATATTCTTGAACAGGATCAATAGCGAAGTCGATTGAGCCAGACGGAGTCTGTCCGTCTGTCCGTACGAACGCTGAGATCTCAGAAACTATAAGAGATCCAAAGTTGAGATTCAGCATGGAGATTCTTGAGGTCCATACGCAGCGCAATTTTATTTCAGCATCCTGGCACGCCCACTATAACGCCCACAAATCTCAAACAAAAGACGGTTTTCGCATTTTCTAGAAAAGCTGATATAATATTAGTGATAGAAAGTTCGGATTAAGCATTAAGCGGAACATTATTTTGCTATTTATGAAGAAATTTAGGTTATAAGCCCTCACATGGGCAGTGACGTCAGTATCAGGTACTCAACATGCTTTCTCCGACAATAGGTGGCGCCTTGTGAATTTCCATTAGCAAAATGAATATTTTACAATTGTCTAAGCTTTTTCATGGTGGGCAAACACCACTTTTGAAGAGAAATTTGATCCAAGTTCGCGATAAGGGCCAAAAACCAGTACTACATCGCGAAACGTCGTGGGCAGCCGCTTTGTGGTCGGGGCTCTAAATACTTTTCGGTATTATAGAAGTTTTTAACGAAGATGGATTCCTTCTTATTCTCTATGATTACTGTTATAGTGCTTGCCTTTCACCCCAATAGTTCAAAATAAAATGGGATCTCGAAATTGTTCATTTCATTTTTACCTGATTATTACACCCGTTTCTTGTTAAGTGAAAGGGTGTACTAGATTCGTTGAAAAGTATGTAATAGGTACACCGAAGCGTTTCCGACCCTATAAAGTATATTTATTCTTGATCAAAGTAGATTAGGCTAAATCTCGAGAAGTTTAAGATATATAAAGTTAGACTTACGAATATGTATTTCAAAAATGCTACTACAGCTCGAAGCGAGTTTTCATCCGCGCCCACTATAGCGCCCAAAAACCACGAAAAACTGTGGCATTTATAATTTTATTATGTATGTTTACGTTTGACCTTGTATAACATATTTTTATCAATATGTATAGATTTGCCAACGATTTTTTAAATCGGAACATTGTTTCGATTGTAATGAAGAAATGTAGGTTTAAGGCCTCACAGTGACGTCTCTATCAGTTACTCAACATGCTTTCTCTGGCATTAGGTGCCGCCTTGCGAATTTTCACTAGCAAAATGAATATTTTAAAATTGTATAAAATAGTAACGGTATCTTATAGCCGCGGAACTCGACTAACGCGTTTCTTCTTGTTTTTATTATACCCCTTACTCGTAGAGTAAAAGGGTATATTAGATTCTTTGAAAAGTATGTAACAGGTAGAAAGAAGCGTTTTCGTCCCTATAAAGTATATATATTCTTGATCAGTGTCAATAGCGAAAACGATTGAGCCATTTCCGTCTGTCCGTCTGTCTGTCCATATGAACAGACTTTGAACTATAAGATATAGGAAATTGAGATTAATCATGAAGATTCTTGAGGTCCACACTCAGCGAAAGTTTATTTCCGCATCCTGCTACGCCCACTCTAACGCCCACAAATCACGGAAAACTTAAATCGCTTAGATCTCAGGAACTATTAGAGCTAAAAAGTTGAAATTCAGTATGTATAGTCTTGGGATGCCAGCGCATCTTATGGTGGTACCATACCAGTTACTCAACATGCTTTCTCCGACAATAGGTTGCGCTTTGGAAATAAATAATTTAAAATTGTGTAAAACAGTAATGGGTATCTTATAGTCGCGGCTCTCGACTATAGCGTTACTTCTTGTTTTCACCTACTTTTGGTGGTAAGGAAGGCCACAAACTATTTCATAGCAGCCAGCTTTCGTGGGCAAATCGCATATGGCGTTGTGAAAAAGTAATGCATACTTTTAGTTGCTGATTGTGGTCCCATACAAAAAGCGATCAAAAATTAAAAACTTTTCGGGTAACGGTAACTCAGTTTCACTAACACACACGCATTCACTTATAAAGGGAAAAGGGAAAATTCCACATGGCTTTTGATTTGGCCACTCTTTCTTTTACCGTTTGTCTTCAGTTAACACACACACACTCGCACACAGTAAAATGGAGAAACAGTCAGGTAGTTAAAACTTTTAAATTGAGGGCGGGGATCATTTGTGATTTCTGCCGTCTGGGAACTGCAAATAAAGCCGGGAAAGCTGGAAAACCTGCAAAGTTACAGTCACGGCAGAAGCGCTCTGTCACTGCTCATTTGTTGCTAATAATTATAAAAGTTTTCCTCAATCCCCCCGAGTCACATAAGAACCCCACAAAAATATATAGAAAAACACTTGCCAGACTATCTGTCTGTGTGCTGATAGAAAAAGCACACAAAAGTTTTGACAATTGTTTAGTTTACAGAATATGCCCGACCATGTTTGTGGAGTCCTTTTCAGCGTTAGCATTTAGATCAGATTTCGTAGCGAATAGTTTTGGAGTCACCGCACGGCCTAAAAGCATGCAGTATTAAATTTTTATTTGCTTACTTCATAACAATAGTACGGGCAGTGCCACTCCCCCTTTATTTTTATAAGTCATTTGCTTTGGGCACTTGGAGCCCAGCCAGAATTCTTGGATAGCAAACAAGTCGAACAAAGCGAGCGCCAAATTGCCTTAAAAGCCTTTTCGAGTCAAAAGTTTTGCCTGTTTGCGCATAATTATTTAGCCATGACATAAACAAAAAATCACAAAACCGATGCTTAATAAAGTCTGGTGATAGGAAAATATTGAAAACTATCAGTTAGGTTTTAAAGAACAAGGATGTTCTTGTAAAAATGTATCCTGTCAACTATAAATTAATCTTCCTGACAGGTGGAATGTAACTTTCTTTTAATTAAAATTTTTTTTATTTTTATTTGATACTGCTCGGAGTAGAAGCAGGCTCTTTATCCTCGTCCATTTTTGGCAGATTTCCATCTTCATCCCCAAACATTAGCCGCTCGATGAGATCCATTTGGGCATGGAGGATTGCGGCCACGGCGAGGGTTCGTTCGATGCGCTCTCTATACCTCAGCTGGAGCACTTTCCCGCTTGGCCGCGTAGTCGTTTCCGTGTAGCCTTTAATTTTTAAGGTTCCCATACTCTTTTCCTCTATATTTTTCAGATTTTGTTCGATATTCTGCGCTACAGTTCGATTTTTCGAACTGTAGCTTGTCTTGATCTTGAACATCTTTAAAATAAAATTTAAAAAACCAGCGTGTTCCACGCGAAGGAATTCCCAAAAGGATAATCGCTGACCCTGCTGGCTATCCTTTTTCGACTTAATAGAAACCATTTGATCCCGGAGCATTGACACAATCAAATTGACCAGCATGTACTCGACCAGAAATCCCATTATGACGTACAATATAATGCCCAGCCACTTTCCACCGTGAAATAGTTCCTCCGGGGTCACGATATTAGTGTAGCCGAAGGCGAAACAGGTGACCGTAACAAGGCCCTTGGACATGTCGCTGAAGGAATAGGTATTGTTGCCGTTAATTGTCACGGTGGATATGCTAATGGCGGCAATAAATATAATGCTTATCACCAAAGTCCAAATAAGCGCTTGCCATGCCAAAAATATGGTTTTGGTGAACAGCTGAAAGGTGGGCGAAAACTGCAACGCCTTCCAAAGTCGCAAGGTGACAAGGGCCACGGTAAAGCCTTTTACCACATTAGAGAAGTGGGAGAGCCGAGAAGGTTCGCGGAAATCTACAAACTCCACCATCACGGAGATTTCCACTTTTCTGATCATTTTCTGTGACAAGTAATCCCGAAACGCTGTTATGATCACAACTGACATACTGAGAATCAAGATCACGGCATCCACCATGATCCATGGAGTTTTCAAGAGACGCGGTTCGTACCAGACCTTAACAAAAAATGCCTTGGCGAACTGCAGCCATTCAAAAAAGGTGACGAACAGCATAAGCATTCCAAAAAGGGTAATATCTCGAAGTTGCTCCACGAAAACGTGACTTTCGACCTCCAAATGGTGTTTGACGCCCCGGAAAGGAAACTGCTCCACCCACAGTGTGCACACGCTAAAAGTGTTCGAATCCACATTGTACAAACTAAAGTCCATAAACAGTGCCGTCGTATTCGAATCCAGCCAGCGTTTCTGCAACAAGTACTGAAGTATCAATTTACTTTTGGTGCGGGTGTCCGAGAGCAAAGTAACGTATCCAATTTTTTCCGGGTAATTGATGAATTTCCCGTGGTGAACGATGGTCATGGTCAAGGTATCCCGAAGTGTTGGAGCTATCGAAATCCAGGGCATGTAGATAGGCCAGTACTTGTCCGTATACGGTACTCTTTCATAGGGCAGTTTCCAGCTCTCCGAAAAGTCAGCCTGGGTGAAAACGGGTGCCCTCAGACCCATGTGGTAGTCCTCTGTCCTGATCTGCCTTAGTCTCACCACTCCCAACATCCTGGTGCCCTCCACATGAGTCCAAGGAAATCCTCCAACGGTGTTGGCCTCGTCCGTAAATGCCATTACCAAGGAATACTCTAGGAAGGTATACAAATCATTCACGTCTATCAAACTTCTTAATCCAATTGTTTTCTTATGGTCATATTCAAAGAGATCTCGCGTGGTTTGGGTATTATAGAAAAGCGACTCATTAAACATCAACAAAACCATGACGAACAGGATTAAGAACAGCTTTCCGGTTAGGAAAATATCCTTTTTTATCAGGCGGTACTTCAGATTGACCCTCTCATTTCGATGTCTTTCTGTGATGAGGAGCTTACTTTTTAACGACTTCAATTGTAGTCTCAAGGCGTTCATTTGTGTCCCAACCGTAGCATTTGGATCGGGCGTCAAGGGTTCTTGTTGAGTTGGCCAGAAAGCAGCATCAATGGCTATTGCCGTGAACTTGACGGGTGTAAAGAGCAGGGTCTGAACCATAATCACTGCTAAAAACGCCACCAAGATCATATTGAACTTGGCAACGTCATGAGAGAATCCCGAGAACTTCCAAATGCAAATGCCACATCCGACCATTATACCCAATGTAATATAGAAAATGACGTTACTACTCTTCTCCGTCATTGCTCGTGGATATCAGTTTTTAGTTCACCTTTAAAGATATTTTCGGAAACTACTATTTCGACAAATAATAATGGGGATCTTTGTTTTATTTCACAAAACAAGTTATCAGTTTGTTGATTAATTAGTTTATTTTCAACTACTTCTTGACTGGGTTACACCTTTAGGTAATATTTCACTGAAAAGCTTAAAAAATACTTCTGGAAAAGAAGAAAATGGCATGCAGAATAATTGCGTTATTTCAAATAAATATTTTACAAGCATTAAGAAGTTTTCTTTAAACCCATACATTGCTTTTTTCCAAACGTGAGCTAAATAAATAATCCCAAATGAATCGCATACATTTTTTAGTTTCTGGAATGATTTTTTAGACCTTTAAATATTCCAGATGGTACTTTTGGTATAAACTTGTTCTCTAAATTTTCACTTTTCCTACTTCTGGCTTAGGTATATACATTTTTAGAACACTCTCTGTGCCCTCATTTTGCAGTTTGTTTTCTGTCACTCCCCGAAATTTCATGAAATATTCACCTCCCCAATCCAGCATCTGGTATTCCTAAGGAGCCGTAACTCGCTTTAATTTCACTTGCTGCTGGTAGTTAGTTAACCTTGCATTTCTTTGTCCTTGTCGGATGCAAGCCGTGTACAAATTATTGTGCTATCAGTGGCACTTCAATGGGCTCCCAGCAGTTGCCACTTAGGGCAGCCGACAAGTGCAGCAGACTCACCACCTCATCCACATGCCCACCGCCCAGCGCCCACCGCTCACAGAGATATGCCCCCTCCCAACTACTGAACTCTGAGAGCTGGGGCTGGCAATAAAATTTCTAAACCTTTTTTGACAAATGAAACGTGCAACAAACAAGACGCCCAGGCGGCTGCTGCAGGCGGCAAAGGAAACAAGGCGGGGTCTCAGGCCTCAGCAGCCAGTAGCCGGGATACAGGACCTAGGACCCATGATTCAGGATCCAGGAACCAGGGCCGAGAATATAGGAATGAGCTGAGCTCCAGTGCCAACAAAGATTTATGCATTTCACAGGGCAGACTACGCTTTATGCGAAACTAAACGGCAAACAGTTTGAGTGAGGAAAGCTTTCACTCTCTTTACAGAGGAAAAAATGGTGAAATCATATGTAAGGCATTAAAGTTTGCGGAGTTTAAATAAATTATGCAATATTATGACTTTTGTATTTTTCGTCCGTTAAGTTTTAAAAACTATTCTATAATAAATATTTTGCATTAAACTAATTAGTTTTCTCTTTGTGTACCATCTCTTTATTCCTTGGGGAAGCGGAAATGAAGCATCACATGCCCCCTGCTCTCCTTCGGATCGGGGTTCCAGGGGAGGAAGTCCATTGTGCCTTTTAATAGACTGAACTACACGGCATCCGACTCTGAGCGCCGGCATCCTGGCACTTTGTTTGCCGGCAAACATTTGTGCAGCTTATTAATATGCATGCCACCCGGCTCCACGCCCCTTCCCTACCACGCCGGGATTAGCTGGAGCTGGAGGAGCAGGTGTGCCGCCCATCCAGGTGGCCACCTTCGTTTCGCAGCCCCTCGCCAATCGGCACATTTTATCTCCTAGGCCAAGAACAAAAGTTTTTAGCTGTTCTCGGTCCGTATCGAAAAGTCGTTAGTAAGCTGACCGCAAAAAGATGTGAGGCGAAAGTGCAGCGGCTCAGAGGAAACTTCGGGACCAACTGGCCGCTCCTATTTCTTGGTCTCAGTGGCAATCGGAGCAAAAAATGGCCAACTTCGCCCTAAGACTTGCACTTAGCCCGCACAAAAGTTTGCCCGCCATTCCAAACTTTTTTGACTGAGCCGGAGATGAAACTGAAGCTAAGGCTGAAAGTGAAGCTTCCAGTGTGCTGTAAGTAGATTTGTGGACCCGTGCATATGTCTTATTCCGGACGGGAGTGAGATGGGAGGTCTACTGCTATGAGACACTGCATAGCAGGGTTAAAATTATGCTAAACTCTGTATTAAAATTCATAGCCCACAATTTAATGAGCGAAAAATATGTACATAAAGCAAAATTTTCGAAAAAATCTTGAGTGATTTGGAATAATAGTAATAATAATATACCTTTATCAATATTTCTTTTTATGTTTTAATTGTTCACAAATTTTATAAGTAATTTAAAAAAATGGTTTAAGCTTACTATAAATGTAAAAATACTGAAAACTACATAAAATAAAAACTGGAAAAATAAAAGATATGGCTTTAGAAGCAACAGAACAGAATAACAAATATTGTGCTTTCTATGGCGGCAAAGGATTTTTTCACAGAAAACATTACTAAATCTTTAAAACAGACCATTATTAATTTATGAAAACTTTTGTTTTAATACTTAAAGGTTAACTTTAGGAATTATAACCTCAAACTACAAACTTTAAAGTAAACACTGAAGGACAAGTGTGACCATGCCTTCTTTACGAAAACATCTCTAGTAAACTGTTTGTATACTTGTCTTGCTCTAAGTTCGAGTAAAGCTGTCAAAAAAAATTAGAAACACGCCAAGCACAATTCCTAGAAATTGTTGGGCCTATAAAGGAGCAAAAATGCCGAATAATAAGAATAATTTGGTAATGGTGCTCATTCCGGTTTCCACAATCGTGGGCATCGACATCGAATGGAAAAAGCCGAAGACCTTCGTGAGCGCCGCCGAAGAGAAAAGGTGGATGCAGAAGTCCCGCAAGGAGGCAATGGAAATCAAGATGGATCTGGAGATTGGACGGTTGACACCGCAGGACTTGCCCGGCAGACTTATCTTGAAGCCAAGAACAGCTAAACTTCCAAAAGGCGAGGCCAATAGGTTTAAAACGGAGTTGGTTGAGCGAGAGGCTGCTCTCTACGCAGAACGCGATCTCGTCAACCTGTTTGTGCGGCTGGTGAAATTTTTAAGATCTTGGGAACCGGAACAGGTTCACAGGATCCTTGGTCATATTAAGAGGATGAAACTGTCCAGATTGATGCTACTGCGCAATCCTGACTGCGTTCACAAGTTACGAGATCTTCGTGACTTTGGTGGCGATGTGGAGGGGTTCAAAGAAGAAGACATGGCCATTCGCGAGAAGGCCACCGCACTATACGACCATTTCAAGAAAGTTTTCAATGCGGAGCCAGGCTCTGATGACGAGTTCTTTGAGGACTTTTTAAAACAAGTCGATGTCTTTAAGTCCGTCACGAAAGATATGAAAAAGATATTTTGCACCACGTTGAGCGAGAAGGGCTACCAACGCCTTCTGGACACTATGGACGCGGCGGCTAATTCTGACAATAATGAATAATGTTCTAGATATATTATTATTCTTTGCATGTTTCTTACAAAATAAAAACAATAATTGTAAACCGTTGTAACCATCGTAAGGTTTTATTTATTTAACAATTAGTTTAAACTAAGAGCTAACATATGGCTAGGAGCAATAGCAGCTCGGCTAAAATTAGATTATAACTTTTGCATGTTTAACATATGAATATATACAAAATATTACGATGGTTGACTATTTACACTTTATTTACAAAAAATGTGATTAAAATAAATTTGCAAAGTGATATGGGAGTTGTCCAGGAACTTAAGAAGGGAGTTTGTATCTGTGGGGTAAGCTATGGCGGTGATTGGGTCTGGATTCTTGAGGAATAGGGATGGATGGATGTCAATCTGAGAGATGTTGCACAATGGGCACAAGCTGCTCTTTGATCTGTCAAGGTAGTGGGAGTTTGTTAGGTATGAGTGTCCTAGTCTGAGAAGGGTGATAATGATTTGTTCTCTTCTGTTTAGGGAATAGTTTTTGAGGGGCTGTTAGGGGTGTAGGTTAAGGGGAAGTGGGCAGCACGTTTTGCTGTATTATCAGCTTTTTCATTACCTGTAATACCCATGTGACTGGAGATCCAGATGAGCTTAATTTTTGGGAAGTGTTGAGCGGTCATGTTTCGAACTATGGTTGGGTAGTGTGAATGGTTATCGTGGTTTAAAATAGCAGTAACTGAGGAAAGGGTACAGATGGCATGTGTTTGCCTGGCAACTTGGCGCAAATGTCTATGGCTTCATGGATTGTTGTTTTTATTGTTTCACACTTGTTTGTAATGCTGTAGGTGGTTATTCCATCGGCTTTAGATCCATCTGTGTAGATGAAGTAGTGATTAGGATAGGATGACTAGAAGAAGTGGAAGAGTTGTTGGAAAACGATTGGGGGAGTAGTATTTTTAATATATTTAGAGAGGGAGGTGGTTGTAGCTTTGATGATGTTGAGCATGTTGAATTTGGAGGATTTCTTTTTTATTGGGAGGGTTGGGATAGAATGGGAGTTACAGATTTTTAGTATTAGGTATATAGCACTGGGATATCTATACTTTCTCTTTGGGGTTTGATGGGAGATTTTGGAGGGGTATCTTTAGAATTTTGCTCAATGGTATTGATGCACGACTCAGCCAGTAAGTTGTTCGTTGGCGTATAGAAAAATGCACCCAGGGCTGATCTTATTGCAGAGTTAAGAGAAGATTTTAGGCGGGTGAGTAAGGATTTGGGTGCTGGACCATAAATGGGGTGGCAGATTTCACTATTTGGACAAGAGTTGTTGTATTGGTATTGTACCTAAGAGAAGAGAGGTGTTTGACAATGGCAAGAGGTTTAGTGAGATCAGATTTGAGTTTGTTAATATGCGATGTCCAATTGTATCTATGATTAACAGTAAGGTCTATTTGAATTTGCGGCAGATGTAGAGGAGTTGACATTATTCTACAGACAGAATGGAGCCCGACTGAAGGCACCATTCGTGAAAAAGCGCCATGCGGTTAAAAAGGGATGAGAGGTTGGATGTAGGATTTTTACGCTTATTGTGTTGGATGAGGAGGTGGAAGTGGATTGAGAGGATGTTGGACAAGGAATTGTAGGCAATTAGGAATAGGATTACGGAAATTTTCCTTTTAGACATAAAGTTCTTAAAATAGTTAATGATTTTTCGGCCTAAATGCCAATCGTGTTTATCAATTCTATCGAAGGCTTTAGTGAAGTCAAGCGATAGAATTGACAGGTGTTTTTTGAGATCAATAGATCGGAAAGCTAGGTGGTATACGTAGACTAATTAGTACAGATTTGCCTAACATCAGTAAATCTACCAAGAAAGGAAAAAGGAAGGTTTTTATATCCATTCTGTGCATGTACATACATAAGTCACGGTATAAGTGGTTGGTTCATTAGTTTTTTATTTTCCAAACTGTATATAAATTTATTGATGATAAATTTAGTGATTTCTGCCCTACGTTAAATGATTTCAGAACATTTTGCTAAAGTTTTCTCAAAAGTTATAAAATGGTTTGTTCCTAAACTAAATATCACTATATAAGCAAAGTTGTAAATAATTTTTTGTAAGTGGGGAAATGTACCACCTTTTACCTTTTTAAGTTTCTATAGCTTTTATGGAAACAATTTAGCGAGGATTTATCATCTTTTCACGTAAATTGAACTATAACATACGCTCAGGTATGAAAAACCAAATATAAGAACGTTTTCTTTTAATCCTTTGCTCTCTACAACCAGGCTCACATCAAAGTGGCGGACTTCCTGGCTGTCAACTTCCTTATCCTGGACGCCCAGTCAAAATCGGTGCCCACATGGCTCAAACTCACTTCCGGCAGCACCCTTTCGCTCTGCTCACCATTAATCATCGAAGTAGAACAAGCTGAGCAGATGCACTTATAGATTTGTCAGACGCCCACGCACGCCCACACTCACACACACCATTTCCCCCACCGCCGGAAAATCAAATTAAGATAAAATTAAAAGCAACAACAAACAAACTAACACCGAGCTGAATGCAATTGGGGAATGCCCCACTTGCTACATGGGGATTCGTTTATTTTTTGGCAAACACACAACATATGCGTCCCGTTGACAAATAAAGTTTACAGATATGTATGCACACACCAACACGCGCGGAGCAGGAAAAACTGACACACACAGACGCAAAGGAAAAGCGGGAAAACTGGAAGAGGAATGGCAACGCACACGAGTAAACAATGGCGAACAGGCGACTGAGCAGATGGTTGTTAGGGCCGAAAGAAATGGGCGAGGTGGAAAACAACTCCCCAATGAAATAGTTTATGGTAAACCGCAATGCGAAAAATGTCACCTCCTGGCAAAAATGAGCAGGGCAACGGGGAAATGTGGAGATGGCAGTAGAAGGAGAGGCAGTGGCAGATACAGAGACAGACCAGAGTGGAACTGAAGATGGAGTGGCGTGGCGCATCCAACTGGCTAAACAAGTGCGGAAGTTGTTTGCGTTTGCCGCTGGCAGAGGCCAAGCGGAAGCGGCCTATTGGGCAATGGCAATGACGGCAGTCGACTGTCGCCACAGAGCGGAAATGAGCCAACTTGGCTGCCACATGGGGCGCAAAAGACGCCAGCTGACAATATCCGACACTGAATGTCGAAGGGGCAACTTGGAGCTCCGATCAAAACGTAACGCACTTTGTGCGGAAGGTCGAGAAGTCCACTTTGGTATAAATATGAGAATTTATTTTTCACAAACTACCTGCAAATCAGGAGCTAGATAATCAGGATTCTTTTAGTAGGATAGATATTGCTTGTTTACCTCATAAACGTAGGAATATTCGTGCGTTTTTCTGCTATCAAGAGAGATTATCAATAGGCTTCCATATAGACTATTATAATATATGTTTGATGCAGATGATTTATCATGATGTATGATGCATATATAATTTTAGTACATAGGTACATATACATCATTGGCTTTTGTTAAGAAAAATTTCATTACTTAACTTACAGTTGGGTTAATTGGCTAATCAATATCGTAAACCAAAATAAAAAGTATCAATCAAACTTAGATTAAAATATGTAAACGTATTTTTATTCCGCCTAAATCTAAACGACTGACTTAACTAGAAAATGACGGCTATTAGTGGACTTTTGAGAGTCCCACTCCCTGAGTTTTGTAGCACCTTTAAGATTTTTCTATATCCACCAGATTCTGGTACTTATGGCCCCCGGAGAGGTGGTTCTGTGAAGCCTTGATTCCGAGATTCGCAACGATTGCTATCGGCTTCTGTGGGAATTACGTCCTTAGCGAAATCCAGTACCCTATCCAAGGGGCACTGGAACTCACAGCCGGGAAGTGTGAGCTTTTGAGCCTGCTCCTTGGGATCATTACGGAAGTAAATTTCCACCCAGTAATCGCCGGTTTCCTTGTTCTTATGAAGTTCGAACAAAACCATCGAGGAGTAGCGTGGCATCTGGCGTTCCCAAATCTTCAGGGCAGCAAGAACGTTCACCACTGTCGAATCGTGTCCCGCATATATGAATAGTTTCCTGCTACTGGGCTTCAGGGTTCCGTTCTTCTTCTGCTGCATTTCATCGAACATTTTCTTGAGGAACGGACCGCCCTTGATCTTCTGCATCTCGGGTGTGTACACGTTGTAGACATAACTCTGTTCGGCTAGGAATTGCATTTTCTCCGGGAAATAGGAATGCGTCCATTCAGGCAATTCTAGACCCCATTCCTGTTCAGCGAGCAGAGTCAAGTACAGGGATTGGACATCCTCGGGCTCCTTGAAGCTCAGGCCCGTGTGTGCTTCCAGCTCTTTGTACATTTCCAGATAGGGCTCGATTTCAGCTTTTACCTCTGGTAACTCGTACACCTCATTGAGAGCTTCGAAATATCTCGGACACGGTTTTCGTACCAAGAGCAACTGCAATACACATATTAAAGTAATCATTAAAAAGAGGTTTAATTGTTATGAATGATTATTTTCAAGGTGCAACAAGTAAATCCTTATACATTAAATAATGATTTAAAGAAGTATTAATTTAAGGAAATTTAAGGAAATATTTATACATAAAGAATTTAATATATTCAAAGATTTAGCAAACTTGTTTAGTGTTAAGCAAGGGTGGTTTATAAAATGATTTTCATAAAATTGTACTTAAATCTTATTAATCAGTTAAAATCTGCCCATAATCACGAGAAGTATAAATACGTTTAAGATATGAATAAATTAACTTAGATTAAATACAGATGTACCCGTATAGACAGGAGTGTAAAAGATTACTGCACATTTAATCTTTGTCGAATCCCAAATCGAGTTATAACCCTCTGTTTCGATTAATCATTTTCGTTATCCTGTATACGCACCGTATCCTCATTGAGTTCCTGGGAGAAGACAGGTATGGGCTGCCAATTAAACCGGCTATTCCACTCCATGTCGGTGCCTTTTGGCGGGAAGAAGGCGGCCAGTACGGTCTGCATCGTCATGTGAGTCCGCGGAACACCCGTCGCCTGAGCGTGCACCGACTATCGAAGAGAAGGGAAGAAAGCGGAGACGGAGAAAGTGGAGAAGGAGAAAGCGGAGGGCCAGAAACAGAAACAGAAACGAGAACGAAAAGAGAAAAGAAGGAATTGAGTGATGAGCCAAGCGCGCTTGAGCTTTGCAATTTGTAAACGTCCGCACTATCAGGCAACCACCCCGTGGACGTGATGGTAAGGGAGTATGGTAAGGGTACACAGAAAGAAATTTGAGGTATCAAGATTGCCTAGTAAAAATGTAACAACATGAAGAGAAGGAACAGTGCCTGTTCCCCAGCTTAGATTATTGCAATGTAAGTGAATCATTACATTCACATTAACATTAAACTATTAAAAACATTTCTCCCTGTGTAAGGTGTAAGGGGTTGTGCCTTGTCGGTTCGTTAGTGACTGCTTACTCACATCAGGACTGTAGTTGGGCGCCAGAAATTTGCCATAACGCTTACGCAGCCAAGTACCAATGTTGAACAGCTCGCGTTTGCCATTCTGGAGCGTTGATTTATTGCATGGCATGAGCGGATGGCACGTGAGACAACACCAGAGAGAGAGCGCCGGGAACGTGGGGAATGTGGAATGGGGATCCGGGGTGAAGTCCGGGACAGAGATGGAGAGAAGTGTTATAAAATAATAAATGCCTTGCATTTTTGCAATTGCATAAACATATGCATGTGTATATGTTAATGCAGCCACAGCCCGGCATCCCCTCAGCCCGGACAGCAAAACATTTGCATTTCAATTTATTTAAATGCTTTGCTTTTGGGTATGGGACTCGGGGTTGGGGATGACGGGGCAAAAGTTTGTGCTGCACAACTTTTTCTTCACTCACATTTGTTATTTGTCCCCAGCCAAAGGGATAGTAGGTCTCATTTACATAGGGATCCCTTGGATACGTATCCGCCGGCGTCCGTGGTCCATGTCGGAATACCTGAAGTTTAGCAATTACAATTTTTATTAGTCAAACGGATTCGCCACATGCACACCGCCGTTGCCGTATGCAAATGCATGTGTCAACCGATCGAAAAGCAGAAAGACTTTAATTAGCTGCCGACTTAAGGAAAATCTCAGCACGCGACGGACTTCTACAGCTCGTGTGTGACCCCACAATCTAGCGGAAGTATTTGCTCTCATGCTGATAAGACGTCGCCTCACTGGAAGGCCAGACCTGCCATCTAGACCGGACTATCTCTATAACTAAGTTTAATACTGCGAGCTAATTACCTAGTTATATGGTTTTCCATTAAATCAATCGTGTATAGCCATAGAGCTCAAACAAAAAACAAAAGTGCGTCGCAGTTTTGTTTTATAATTTTATTATACGTTTGACTGCGGACTGGTTTTTGGGCAAAGTGTAATTCGGAAAGCCGGTTTTTTGCTTTGGTTTTATCTCTGTTTTGTAATTAATTTTTTGTGGGTCTTTCGAAGACGTATGAGTTAGCGTTGCGAGTTAATTAAAGTAAGAGTTTTTTATGGAAGAATTTTTAAGTTATGCGCGTTTTTGTGGCTTTGACAGAGGTTCTCTTAAGATAATTTATTGCCTTGTAAGCTAATTTAAGCAAGAACCTCGATGACGGCGCATTATTACTAATACGAGGGTACCCAATAACAATACATTTTGTGTATAATTTTAATATTAGTAAATAAACTACCCAAAAATAAGATAATATTATTAAATCCCTCTTTTAACTAAGCTACACCCCTGCCAATTAAGATACCATTTAAAATTGTTGGCAAATATAATTGCGCATCACTCCAAACAAAAAATAATAATAAAATAAAATAAAATAATTATTTATGACGTTCTGCAATTGGATTTCGCTCAGGTTTCCATTACCACTGACTAACTTTTATTCCAAGGTCAGGCCAAACTTCTTACAACCAATTCGCTTTCAGCTGAAACTCCAACAAACAAAATTATTGGCAGCTTGAGAAACATTTTCCGCTGCACTTTCCGCCCGGCTGCACTTGATTGTTTTTCGCAAAGTGTAATTCACAGCAATTATATGTACATATTATCTAATTGACTTGAACCTGGCGAATGGCTATAACAGAAGATGGAAATGCAAGCTACCTGAAACTAGTCATATGGAAATTCCATCAGCTGAGCTTGATATCTTTATCGAACGAGTTCACTTTTAGAACTGATTATTGCGATTAAATGTCCGCACTGAATCTTATCTGCCACCGGAGCTGACAGTCTACTAAATTGTGGTACACTAATAATTATGGGTTTACACACGACTACAAAAACGCGCTATCGTTTGCACTTTCGCTCGACGTGTTTGTAAACAAATGCTTTATCAACAGAATGCTTGTTTTTACTGCCCACGAAAATGTCAATGCCAGGAATCTCTCACTGCGGTAATACAATTTAAGAGTGTCGGCAACTGTGTGTGTTATCAGCTGAGTTTTTTAGTAAAGATGTTTGCTGACTCTGGATTATTAAAAGCTATGTTAAATGGTGGGCATTTTTTGTTGGATATGTGATAAATGACCTTAAAAAGGTACACATTATGCTTTTTAACACACAAGGTTTTAATAGAGCTAATAATAATTTAAGTAAAACTGGGTTGTTTTCAGTCAAGTGTAATGATCACTTCCAGCTTTGCCGAACAGCTGTTGAGTGTTCCGGATTTTGAATATTACACATTTTGTTGATTCTCGAACTGATTGACAACTGGCGATGGGCGCCCACTCACTTACCACATGCAGCAGCTCGAGCGTGGACTTATCAGCGCCGGGATCGTACAGCTTGGCCGAGGATTCGACCGCCGAGTGAGCGACGCACCAGATTAGAACCGCCGATGCAATTAATCCGCCCGTCATCGCTAGACAATGCCTTCGAGTGAAATGCGAACGCGGCATTTTGCTGGACGGGCTTTATAGCCGTAGAATCTGTCAGTGGGGTCGGGTTTCTACGGTCTCGGTTTCGGCTTTTTGGGAGTCAAGTTAGTCTCGAGACAGATCGAAGACTGACTTGTTGTATGCGCTCTTTGGATTGTCTACATATAATTTTTATTAATCCACGAAACTAGCTGAATTTGGAGACGTAGCAAACGGGTTTTGGGTCCGCGAGACCTTTATTAATGGCACTGATTTCTGTGGGTGTAGGGCCACTACTATCTTCTGTTTGCCGTGGTCTAAATTTGATGCCGATACGGGGCTATGGTAATATTTAGATTTTCCACTTCTCCGAGGGTCGCACGCGACTGTCTTTGTTGTGTACTATCGTCGGTAAGACTGCGGGGAATATATCATTGCAAAAGTCGAAAAGTCGAAAAGGCATGAGTGTTTGGCTCTTTTATCGTTCCATTATCGCCAAATGCTTTCGTCACCGTCGCTCTTTTTATTTCTATTATTCCATTTGTTACTGTAGCCGGAGGTCTATTGTACGAATGTGTGTTATATCGAGCAGAAGCCCCAGACACCGACACAATGCCGCAGCGTTTGAGGCGTTTTAAAACGCGGCCGCGACTTTTAATTTATATGAACTCTCGGATTTCCTCCGCTTATTTCCACTGATTTTATTCTGGTTAGCGCCGCCGCCAGCTCGAAATACCAACGAATTTGTCATCGAAACTGCGTGTGTAAGCACTTTGGCAATAAATCGCTTAGCTTCTTGATCGAGCATTATGTTAATTACACATTATCCATTCTCGTTGCTTAATTGCCAAATTTAAATATATTGTTTTCGGGGCTGGGCTGGATTTGGTTTATGCTTTCGTCATAGTCCGGAAGTTTTTGTAAAACGATGTCCATCTGTAAAAGTTACATACTGCCCTTTTGTCTCGATTCGCTTTGCCTTTTTCTCAGTTACTTCCGATTCGAGTGAGTGGAGCCTCAAATGCCAACTGTTTGAATTTAAATAAGACCTAACACATTTTAAGATGAATGTGTGGAGTGACAGGGAGAGGGTTGATTAAGATGTACGCGAGAAGTTTTAAGTGTCTCAAATACTTGTTATCCCCTGAAAACCCTGAATACCAAATCATTGGAATTTTATTTAAGGTTTGAGATATGAATCTGTTTAAACACAGAATAACAGCATTCTACTATTTAAAAAAGGAAATGATGTATCAGTTTTCATATTACATAGTAATCAAAATTCAAGAACATTTCTTAAATTAACGTCGCCTAAACTATGAGTCTATGAAATAAAAGTAGGTAAACATATGTAGGTGTTGTATAAGACGAAGACGATAACGGATATTCCATCTCGGCTACTTCTTCCCGAGAATCACTCATGGCGAATCCTACTAACCCGTGCCCTCAGTTCGCAGGAAGACTGCCTTGACCGATTTAACTCCACTTCATAGTCTTAAGACTACTTTAAACAGAAACTGTAATAAGATGTTTTGCCACGCACTAGAGAATAGCAACGCAAAGCAAAGAAAATACCAGGAAACAATGCAAAGTAAATATAAAGTCAAACACAAGTATCGGCAAAAAAATACGTTTTAATTTCAGTTTCTGCTTGACACACTCTGAGAATTGGCATGAGTGAGACTGAGATGTTCTTACGAAGTGAAGTTGAATCGGCCAAGACAGTCTTCGTCTATGTTTAATCTACATACTTATATACTTTAATTTCAAAGACACATAGTTTAAAAAGGAGCATATTTTTAGGCGGCGTTCACAATTCAAGAAGTGTTCTGGAGTTTTTTTTTCAAAATATATTAAATCAGTTTTTGCTAAAACACATACGTTGATGAATAGGATATATAGGGAATTCAAAACTATTGCAATTTTTCGACTAAGCTTACCATTCCCATATTACTCAAATAACATTCCATTATTAGTAACTTTTCAATCTCCCTTCTAAACACCCGTCTACTCATAGTACTTGTTCAATTTGCACTAACACTTAAATATGTAATTAGTAAATTATACATTCCACGCGTGCCAATCATTTAGGCACTCCAATTAAGGGTACACGAACTAGTTCGACAGTGGTATGTAAATATATATTTAGTTATTATGTAACATTAATACTGCAATTTAGATTATATACTCGGAATGTGCATACTAATGATAGCTAATCTTAGCCCCCTCTAGTGTTCCTTTAGCTTTGCACAAATCTGCGTAGGAAGCATCCGGAATTATGTCCTTTGTGAGCTCCAATAACTTTTCGATGGGACATTGCTTATCACAGCCAGGAATCTGAAGTTGCTCTGGTTCCTTCTCGGGATCGTTTTGGAAGAAGATCTCCAGGTAATACTCTCCCGTATCTGACTTCTGATGCAACTCAAAGGCAATTAGAGCCGAGAACCGAGGCATCTGAGCTTCCCAAACATTCAAGGCGGATAGAACATTTGTGATGGTCCAGTCATGCCCGCAAGAAAGGAACATCTTGCGGTTCTGGGGCTGCAATTTCCCAGAGATCTTGTCCTGCATTTGCTTTATGAGCATCTCTACGAAAAAGCCTCCTTTCATTTTTCGCAACTCAGCCGTGTAAGCATCGTAGACATAAGACTTGGCCGCCAAGGGTAACATCTTCTCCGGATAGTAGTCCTTGGTCCAGGAGGGCAACTCCAGGCCATAAGTTTGCTCTGACAGCAGTGAGATGAAAATATTGGTAACATCATGGGCATGGGTAACATTGAGTCCGGTGAGATTGGTCAGTTCCTTCAGCAAATCAGAGTTCTCGGCATGCAGCTGCTTAACCTCGGGAAGGTTTATCACCTCCAGGACAGCTTCATCATAACGAGGGCAGGGTGCCTTCATTCGAATGCGCTAAAGAATAAAATATAGTTTAAAAATATTTGATATCTAAAATCATCAGAGTTTGCAGTGTTTGCATTATTTTCGAACCTTGCTGATGAATAATTATATTTCAATAAATTTCAATATTACTCATTTTTTAGATTTTTTACAAAGCTTAAAGTCAATTACGTACCAAAATAGGTTATTTATGACCCTACTCATAATAATTCATAATAAAATAAAGGAAAAAACTTGGAGAAACGGGAAAAAGTTCAAGCAACACTCATTTTTGGGTAACGCACAAAGGTTTTTTTAACTGGCAGGTTTCGACTAACTGTGATGACTTACCACATCAGTTTCCTCTGGTTCCATCACAATGGGGATGGGCTGCCAGTTGAGCATCATGTTCCACTCCATGGGAGTGTTCTCCGGCGGAAAGAGTCCGGCCAGAACCATTTGAAGGGACATCAAGGTGCGCGGCGACTCCGAAGATTGGGCACGGATCGTCTGAAATGGAAACTCTCTGATTAATTTTACAGCCGCATGAGCTTGGTCTACTTATCGTACCTCGGGCTGATAATAGGACGGCAGGAAATCTTTATAGCGCTTACGCAGTTGTTTGCCTATTTTATATAGCTCCACTTTGGCACCCTGTCAATATCAAAATTCATTTTATTTTCATTTTAATTTGGATAATCTTGTTTATATTTGCTGAGTACTTACGTTGGTTAATGCTCCCCATCCATAGGGCTCATAGGTTTCGTTGATATACGGATCTTTGGGGTAAGTGTTGACGGGTGTTCGGGGTCCATGACGAAATAGCTGTCGGAAGTTAAATATTTGGCCACTATTAGCATTACAGTACTAAATGTTGCAAGATAACTTGAGTTTAAAGAGCCTTAAAAGCTGTGTGAAATCAAATAATAATTTTATGAATAAAGATTTCAGTTTTGTTCGTTGGCATTTATGGGTTTAAGTCTAAAAAGGTGACACTTCCAATTAAGAACATATTTATATCCCAATAATTGAGAAGTAAATAAGTTGTAAAAAATTAAATTTACACACAATAAAGATGTTTATCTCAGGTGTACTCGTATATAAAATAATTAGTACTTCGCTTTTAATCAAACTCGTTTTAATGTTGATTTTAATAAATAAATATTCATTCACCTTAAATCAACTCCCTCTTACTTAATGTATATTATGCAAATCGAAATGGGAATATAAAATAAAACACTGTATTTCCCCATAATAGCTAAGTTTAAGTTGGATTAAACCGGTTTCAGGTCTTGGAACTTTATGCAATATTACGTATACGTCACGCAAACTGCAAACTGGCTTAGGAACAGTTGCCTTTCGGTTATGTTTAAAGAGAACTTCGATGGTTTCTCATCGGAAAGCCCCAAATGAATTATGGTTTACTTAAGAGTACACAATTTTTCGTGTGTTTGTCAGGTTTAACATTTGTCACCTCACGTTAATTGCTTAAATAAAATAAGTTTGACACATTTTGGATAATTTTAAGGTCTGCTGACTCCCTTAGTTGCCAACTTTGTAACGAGCCCTAATTCGGCATGAGCTAATTTCGGGGCAATTATTTTTTCACTTATTTACCACATGAACCAGCTTCAGGGTTGAGTTGCTTCCTTTGTTGCCGGGTGAATGTACTTCCTCTGAGTCTTTAGAGACATCCTCAGGACCCACGGTTACCTCATTGGGAACTTCTATTTCCATTTCTATAACACCTCCACGAACAAGTAACACACAGCTGACTAAGAGCAGCAGGCCGAGGAACTTTAGCATATTCGCGAATTTAAATTTAGCGGATCGTTAGGAATCAAGTGGACCGGCTTGGTTGGAGCTTGTGCGTCGAGTGAGTGCATCAATAGAACTGCGGACGGCTTTTAAGTCTCGATTATGTGGTCACCTATACCAGCGCCTGAGCTCATACAGCCATAGATAAGAGAGGCGAAGAGCGAGCTGCTCAATCAGCGAAATCATCAACTACAATGGCAAACATTTCGCAAAAATTCGGATTAATTAGTTTCACACGAAAATGATTTCCCCCGCCAAAAATTACTCTCAATGACCTTTATTTTTTGGGGATTTTTATTGTACTTTATTTTTTCTATAATATTCTTTTTTGCACTTCTCTCCGTGGACTGCTATTGTAATACTGAGTCAACACATTTCGCTGTGGCAGTTGCCTTTCGCTAACGGCCATTCTGATCGATTATGCGCGGTGGCGGCTCCACGAAATTATCGTCATGTGGCCGACACCTCTGCTCCGCCGGTTCGTTGGGCAAGACATCGCCACTCAGCTGGATGAGTCTACTCAGTGGACACTGGAGTTCGCAGTCTTTCAGCTGCAGCTGCTTGAGACAGCCCTGCTCGTCGTTGCGGAGGAAGATCTGAAAATTAAGAGGTAAGGGGATGATTATCATAGGAAGAGATTGGAAAAGAGGTTACCTATTTTGTATGAACAAGTATAAACTTATACCCTAATCATAGACTTGTGTATTCATACTATATTATTGTTATCGCATCTACATAGCCCCTACTAGAAATGGCTAGTTTTACTGTAGATTTTTAGAAAAATCTCCTAAATTTATAATCAGCATCAGTCAACTTTACAGTCAACTATTAAGACACGCGTGGTAATTAAGACTAGTTAATGTCACACGTGTCTTAATAGTTGACTTTGTAATTGATTTTATTTGTCAAAGATTTTGGGAGACTTGATTAAATCGTTTAAGTTCGATATTTTGCAAAACATATACAATAAAGAATTCAAAACTGATTCAAGTAAATAAATACCCACAATTTTTGTATTAAGCCTCAAATTAGTTTGAATTGTAGTAATGAACACAATTAAAGATAATAGCCGTGGGTTTCTCCTGAGTCTAATCTTGTTTAAAAAATGTTTTTAGTTTAAATACCCTTTTCATACAAGCTGTTAGGACTATGGTGAGAACCCTAAGCTTGTATACAATCACATGTCGTACTTTTAGCTTTAGCTAACCTATAAATACTTTCGGAAACAACCGGTTTACCGCTATTTTATAATTAAAACCCTGAACTTTAACCACATTTAGTACTTTGCATTAGATTTCTTACCTCCACATAGTATTCCCCCGTTTCCTTATCCCGATGCGTCTCGAAAATGGCCATCACAGCGAACCTTGGCATCTGACGCCTCCATACGCCCAAGGCCATCAGGATGTTGCCCACGGTCCAGTCATGGCCAGTATATATGAACATTCGACGATCCTTGGGGCTCAGAGTTCCTGCTCTCTTGGCACTCATCTCCTTGTACATTCTCTTCAGGAAGGGTCCACCCTTGATCTTCTGCATCTCGGGTGTATAGGCATTGTAAACGTAACTCTGCTCGGCCAGAAACTGCATGCGATCGGGGAAGTAATCCTTGGCCCAATCAGGCAACTTATAACCGAATTCCTGTTCAGCTAGGAGCGTTATATAGAGGGAGTTGATATCCTCGGCACTCTGAATCGATTTCCCCGTGAGATTTGTCAGCTCGCGGAACATCTCTTGGTAGGGTTCTGTTTCGGCAATAACTTCCGGTCTCTTGAAAACCTCCTCGAGGGCCTCGAAGTAGCGAGGGCAGGGTGTCCGAACCAGCAGGAGCTAAATTACATATTTAATTTACATTATTTAAGACTGTGAAATGAATACCCACCGAGTCCTCATCCAAGGGCTCCGATACGATGGGAATGGGCTGCCAGTTAAGGTGCTTATTCCACTCCATGGGGGTTCCCCGCGGCTCAAACATGCTGGCCAGTGTTGTTTGCAAGGACATCATGGCCCTAGGTGAGGCAGTAGCCTGGGCATGCAGGCGCTGCGAAAATCAAGCTTAATTAACTTTAAGTTCTTAATTTAATATTTAATCACCTTACTTCCGGTCTGTAATAGGGACCCATGAACTCGCCGTAGCGTCGATTCAGCCAGTGGCCCATCTCGAAGAGTTCCCGTTTTCCCGACTAAAAAGGATAGCATGTATCATATCATATTTTAATTTGTTAATTAAATTTATCTAGAAAGCCTTAAAGACCTAAATAAGTCCAGGTCTCGATATTTATGAACTCTTTTAATATTTTCTTATATTTTCCTTTCATGATCTCACATATAAATTTCTAAATATTTTTTGATCTTACGGTGACACAAGAATGGATAATTAACCCACTTTCTTCTTGTAGATATTATATTAGAACAAGTGTTATTGTAAATAAACAAAAGCTAGACAAATATCATTGATAATATCACGATTAGCCACTATCTTCCTATTCCTCTTTTTCCATTTAAAATGAAAGCAGAAAATGATATTGCACAGGAAGTTGTTAATAATATTTTGATCTTTTTAAAGCACAAATTGTTAGCATAAGTCATAAGTAACTTGACTCAATATTGGGGAAATAATATAATACTTTCTCCGAAACATGAGGAATTTCCCCTATTGCAAATAGTTGTCATAAGATTAATTAGGGAAAAAATTAAAGCTTTTTAAATATAAGTCACTTTGACACACTGCTAAGCATTGCTTGCGCATTGAAAAGAAATGTTTTTAAAAAATGTAAATCTTTTCACTAACATTAGTCACATGTCCCCATCCTGTTGGCTTGAATCCATCATTCAGATACGGATCCTTGGGATACGTATCCACTGGGGTGCGAATGCCATGTCTGAACACTATGTGAACCAATTCCAGCGTGGAGTGGGTGGTGTTGGGAGTGGTCTTATAGCACTTGGATCTGGCTGCATTCTTAAATTCGAGGTTCTTTGAGGACACGCTGCTGTTGAGGACACCGATCACAATAACGAGGCCCAGAAGGGCAGCTCCCAAACCGAACATGGTGAGTATTTGTTTACGCGTCCAGCGACCGAATATCATCTTGAGGCTGGATTCCTTTTTATACCGATCGAAACGAAGGCGGAAGAACCGATATTCAGAATTCTCGAAAACGGGATTTGGGTATTGTAATTGATTTTTGTTTTTTGCCCGCTTTATTTATTTGTTTTGTTTAATTGCAGTTTGATTTTAAAACGATTTTCCCGTTGCTGTTTTATGATTTTCGGGTGAGCTGCAAGGCGCGTGCAACTCACTGCGCGTCTGGAGCTAAAATAAAGCGTTGACAGCTTTATACGGAGAACTTAAAAGAGAGATAAATCAGCGCTCGTCTATTCGGATACTGTTGCGTCAAGGGTTGTAGTTGTTGTGACTGTGGCTGCCGCTGCCGCTGCCGTTGCCGCTGACCACTTTCCACCGATCTCGGTTCGAGTCGAGTTTACAAGCTAGGCCTGCCACGCTGAGACAAAAACAACAAAAACCCCAACTAATTGGGCGTTTCTCATTGAACCAGGCAATTACGTATACGATATGTTCGAGTATTTGCGGAACGCAGTAGGCGCAGATCCACAAAAAATCGGCTCAACCATCCCATTTCGGGTCTATTTATAGTACAGACACGCCCTCTTGCATATATCTTTGGCTTTTCCATGGTCATTATCCTATATTCGGGTGGTCACTCCTGGTTCCTGGGCATTATTAAAAGTGGTTCGGTCTCGTTTGACTCATGCCTGGGGAAATCAACTTACTGGGGTTTTTTTCGTTACAGTATCCGGGGCTTTTTGGGTTTTTTTTGGAAAGGTTGTCATATGATGTTTTATTTATTTATGTATTTATTATAATTAATTAACATAATCTTAATGAAATATTTTAATATATTGATTTACATCAATTTGTATTTCCAAATAATTATTGGAAGTTATGCTACTAAACTTAAAGCTCTCTAATACCTAAAATATAATCACATATAAAATCTTATTAAATAGCATTTATCTAGAAAATTGCTAAATTATATCTTAAACTGAATGTCATCGTGCAAATGTTTAACCTTGATTGCGATTTAATTAAACATTATTATTGTTTAGGTAGCGTAAAGTTATGTTAGGAAAGGGCGTGGGTTCTAAAGGTCTGATATATAGAACAATTAGAACTGAGGTAGGTTAGTAATCAAAGGGGTGTGTGAAGTGTGACATTTTAAACAACCTTAGCAGCTGTTGTGCTTGCATAACTGTCAATAGGATTGAGTAATCCTAAAAAGTTCGTGGCCCTTGAAATGTATTCTAACCATAATGTGCTCATGCCCAGTCTCCCTCCCCCAGGAAGATATCATAAAGCTCTATATCTTTAGCCCAGAGTGCTTGAAAAAGACAACAAATAATAAAATATGTGTGTGCTTTGGCTGCACTAATTATTTGCCTTGTTTCACTCTGTTGACATTCAGTCTGTTGGGAGATAATAATTTTAAGTTGCGTATTCGCAATTTCGTGTTGTTTTGGCTTTTATTTTTTGCACTGCTGTCAGAAATTGGCAAATAAATGTGAGTAAAGGTCTCTATTTCGCCGAGAATATATCTTTGTTTGTTTTATGTCCGCTCGGTGTCACATTTGCTTTTATTTTGTTTGCCCGAAAGCTAATTAAGCCGACCGGACTGGCTAAGTCCGTTGTCAGAACTCCGTGTTTGTCGATCGCCGCTTTGCCATGTGGCTAATTGTTGTCTAAATTGTATTTTATGGTTAATTAATGACAACATCGGCGATTAACCGTTATCTGTGTCTTTGCCAGCTTCCGAACTATGCAATTACAGGCAAAAAATCGATCTAAAAAACAAACAATGCTGCGTGCTGAATACGCTACAATTTCGTAATTGCCTATGACTTTTGACTGTGAGTCTTGAACTTTCGTCTAGTTTTTTGAGTTGTTTTTGAACTCAAATCAAATCAGAATCAATATAATTTATACTCCGTCATACTACATAGAATAATGGCAACTATGTCCGAGAGCAACGCAATCGACATTTGAATTGCATCAGCTGACGGAGCGATTAACATTTTTTCAGACGAATAGTGAAAACAAACGGCCTTGCCGGCTCCCTGGGAAGGTAAATTTCAAGTGAATTTGGAATAGCTCAGCGTAGATAAGGTTTAAGGAATCAATAGATAGTTTTCTTAGTTTTATAGTTGTAAACAAAAGTTCCACAGTTTTCCTATTAAATTATTGCTGAACTAACAATTTGTTATCGTAGCAATGATGCTGCTTTTCTTAATTTGATATAAGAATCATTATTCTCAATTCTAAAAATAAGTCTTGTTTTCATTGTCGAATTTATAGGCTTTATTTAACCAATAAGGTAAGTTATTAGTAATACAAGTCTATCTGGTTCCATACCGATTAAGAACTCATTTTAAGCCATCGATAGGGATCTTTTCTAATACGAGGTGTGTTCAAAAAGTAAGGTGACTCTTCAAATTTCGCGAATTTCAAATTTTTCGATTATCGATTTTTTTGTTTTGTTATATTGGTACACTCTTCCCTAACATCTGTACCAAGTTTCAATGGAACATCCTCTTTTGTTTGGTTGTGAGAGGCGTAAAGTTACAAGTTGTTTTGCGAGCTCGGCGATTTTTTGCTATCGAAAAATATGGATCAAAGGATTTGGATTTTTTGGCCAAAAACAACACCACAATAATGCCTCAGCCACCATATTCACCGGATTTGGCCCCATGTGACTTTTTCTTGTTCCCAAAACTGAAGATAATCGAAAAATTTGAAAAATTTGAAATTTGAAAAGTCACCTTACTTTTTGAACACACCTCGTATAACTTCTAAAAGGTTTCGATAATCGAAAAATTTGAAATTCGCGAAATTTGAAGAGTCACCTTACTTTTTGAACACACCTCGTACACTAACAGGATAAGAAAGTGGTAATCGGAATACGAATATTTCTGAATTGAGATATGTAATTTAAGAAATTTGCTTATAGTCTTCAGAAGTACGAAACTTCTGATTGCCGAACTCAACTTCCTAGTAAGAACATTATGAGAACTTCCTCCTTTCCTTGAATTTATTAATTTAACTTCTTATCTTAATTGAATTCATTTAAATTCATCTAATTGTATACAAACACAATTAACAAGAAATATTTGATAGCATTTATTTTTCAAGTGAAAGATTATTATGTAACTTCCAAAACATTTAAATTCTTATCTTATGAGGAAAGTAATCAATTCAAAAATTAATTCATTTGAAAATACATTATCTGAAATGTTATTGTTGATTAATTTTTATTTTAAAACTAATTATCGCAGTCGTTTAATTGTGTTTACTTATATTTTCTGTGGAATGATTACTGACAGTTGCGGTAAACAATAATATTTTATTTCACTAAATAGTTTTAAATTTGCTCTATTCCTGCTGATAGCCATTGCTGATTATTTATTTTCGGTCGTTTGAGTCTTGATCTCGCAGCACGTGTGTGCTACGTCTGGAATTTATATTCAGATTGTTGAATAGCTCTCCTAAGCCTATTTGCTAATGACTTCCCCTGAAATTTATGGTCACTGCGCCAGTGCAGAGCAAAAACAAAGAAAACACCGAAAACGGAAAATATTTTCAAATAATATATTTCTAGCTGGTCAGAGGTTGAGGTGGGCGGCATATAGAAGATTGGGTGATGGGTGGTGGGCGAAGCACGTGCTAAGTTGGCCATAAAACGTGCATTAGACAAACAGCAAAAGTGGGGAACGCTTTTGGGCCAAAAGCGTCTTCAGGCTCGGAAATCCATCGGTCCATATCCGCATCTGTACTCGCACACACATCACCGACATTTATATTTATCAGACCCGCAATTACGATTACCGACAGCCCAGACAAACTATCCAGAATCCGGGGGTAATGAAACTGAGTGGTCAGGGACGAGAGCCTGAAAGAAAAAGGACCGGGGGGAAATCTAGGGAATTCCGCCAAATTGTCCGACAAAACGCTGCCGCGAATGCTTGGCTAAATTTATTGATTCCGACGCATTGAAAATAGTTCTCGGTGGAGCAATTTCAAAGATTTGTACGACAAATTTTTCCTCGACTCCTCACTTGACCGTCTTTTTTTAAATTTTCGCTGAAATGGCTGAAAATTTCTAACTGACGGGCATAAAAATTCGAACACGCGTAGTTAAACGCGCACACACACACATACACGCCCATAGCCAGACCCAAAAGGGGGCGTGGCCGGGTCTATTCAATGAGACAAAGGGCGTCGGACCCGGGTTGTCTGCGTTCGGGGATTACGTCTGGACCGCGTTTTTTGGCAACAATTTTGAAGGGAGGCCCAGGGCTGGGTGTGGCATGGTGGAAATTGGGGCTGGGGAATGGGCACTCTGTGTTGTCGCCTAAACGATAAAGCAATGACAAAAGTCAGCAGCGATTAAAGTTCAATTGGTGTGACCTGCCAATTGGCATAAAGGAAAAAGATTTCAAATGGCAGCCAAGTTGGCGAAATGTTGGCCAGTTGAAAAGTTTCCGGGGAAATTCGCCGAGCGAAAATGGTGTGAAATGAAAAGTGGAGGCAATGAAAAAGGCGGGAGTAAAGGATTGCCGCACAGATATGGCAGGAATCTGTTGAGTAAACAAGACAAATTGTTGCTGGGCACTTGACAGAGGGAATAAATCAGGAATTCTCTTCTATAAGGTTATTTTAATTGCTAAAATTGAAGTTCCTTAACAGAAATGTATTACTTTGATCAACCTTCGGCCATTATTTAAAACTGGTAAAACTTGTAACTCCCCTTTTAAGGGGTGGATTTATTAGTTCTACAGTTTAATATGACATGAATGAAATCAAAATATTTCAGTAAAATCTAAATATTTGCCATCTGATTGACTACGAGAATGCGACGTTGAATTCCAGTTTTCACTATTTAATGTATGTGATAGACACACGCTTAATGTCTGGCCTGATTATCGCATATTAATGAGTTTTTTTTTAACTTTTCGATGCGATTGATGGCCCAGAGGGGCTTCTGCCAGTGGGTGGGCGTGGCTGTGGGTTAAGAGGGGGTTAAGGCCTGGTTAAATGCGCTCATCTCATGTACGGCGGCTGTTTGTGAAGCTTTTCACAGCAAATTACAACAAATTATACACATAATTACGCTTTAATGCTTGGCCTGCCCACGCCCCCTGCTTTCTGCTAACGAGTCCCCGCCCCTGCCACGCCTTCTCCCCTACCTCCCCCTTTTCTTGTCGTGCAACGCATCAATGCAAAGTAA